CGTGGATGAACGATTTTTCTTCACTCGCGCCCTTATTTTGATATTTTAAGTGAAATTTTCTAATTGGAATCGGATAGTCTCACCGAACATACATGATGCTTTTTTTCCAGCTTGTTATATTCAATGAATAACATACTTTACACAATACTCACATGACTTAAGTCTATCGAGTCTCAAAGTTTCGAATTCTGACACGCAACCCACGAATTCTAGTGTATTGAAGACATAGAGATGTAAATTTAGATTTCTATATCTACTATATTGAGACTAAATTAAGTTTCTATCAATATTCATGAAAGATCTCATGTGAATTCTAAACTGTATTGCAGTGGCTTATCGATCATATTTCTTAAAATTTTAATTGAAAAAATGATTTTTCTCTTGTCAAATCATGGTATAAATGTCAACAGACTTTTCAATCAGCTAAATAGCCTTGAAACATTTCGTAAATCTCATTTTCTTTTCTCAACTCTTTTCAAATCAATAGACTAATTATTTATGTATATTCTGTAAATCCTATTACATCAGGATTTTCGTAAAATGAATCAATATACTATTCTCAAGAATATAAGTCTTTTATTTTGAAATCAATGGTTTCTTTTCTAGTATATATTACATATACTATGTATAAATCCATAAAACTAAAGCATCGATTTATTTACGTGATCTAAGTTTCACTTTGAGATCATTATCAGAACGAAGAATTATTTGTTCAGTTGGTACAAAATCTTCATAACTTTGACTTGTTGTTAGATGAAATCGACGAATTATTGTTGAAAGAAACACTTTTTCTTCAAGCATAGCAAAACGTTGACCTTTCATAACAAAACTAAAATCAATATAAATAGGATTTATAGAAACTTCATTGCATACCAATACAATTTCGTGGACCAGCAGAAAACGGAATGTATGCATAAGGGTGTCGTTGTTGAACTAATTCAGGTGAAAATCGATCAGGATCAAATTTATCTGGTTCAGGAAAATGTTGTGGATCACGATGAATCTCATAGATAAATATTATAGCTGTTGTACCTTTCACAAACGTTTTACCATCTATAAAGAAAAAGTGATTGAAAAAGGAATCATTTAAAAAAATCAGACTATATTGAAAAGTTTCTTGGATTTCTCGTCCAATCATAGGAACAGACGGTAAAAGTCTTAAAGTTTCTTTGATAACACATTCAAGATAATCCATCTGTTTAACATCATCAAGAGTACATGTACGTTCATTATCATTTTCTGAAAGTTAAATAATATATATATATCGCAAAAGTTAATCAAAGAATTTACCAAATATTCTTTGCATTTCTTCGAATAAACGTTGTTGAATATTCTGATGAAGTGCAATCATAAATAAAGCAAAATTAAGTGCAGTTGCTGTTGTATCATGACCCTAAAATATGTTCAAAAATCATAATTGAAGAATATTTATTAAAATTTACTTCAAACATAAATGTATCGACTTCTTCTTGTATGTCATCAATTGACATTTGTTCATCATGCATTTTTCCAATAAGCGTATCAAGAAATGCCATGCGATGTCGAACATGCATTGAAGAAAAGTCAGCAATACGATCTTGGATTACCTACAAAAAAAAAAGAGAGATTTGCTAATTTATGAAAATTATAAACATTGAAACAAAAGTTTCTTATTAACCAGATTTTATTTTACTAGTAAGATAATCTATCAAATACATTTTGAACCTTTTTCTATTGTTACAAGAACAAAATCTTTTGTCTAAATATTGTATTGAATGGAGTTGAAACCTGCAGATAAATTCATAGTATCAAATTTATAAGCATCAACTCATATACATGTACTCGAAAATAACTAACTATATCATTTAATAATTTGTCTTAGAAAAAAAAAAACAATACTTCCTATAATAGGAAGCTACTTATGTTTAATGGAATGTTTTAAAAGCAAACTATGTAATACTAGAACTTCACTCGTTGGTATTCTTACTTGTCGAGTAAATTTATGTATAATATTCAGAAGGTGATCGTGTTCACGACCTAAAGCAGAAAGTTTAAATATTGGTCGAGGCCATAACCATGGTGAACGCATTCGTAAAGCTAAAAGGTCCGTAATTCTTAAATGAAACAAATAAGTCATCAATCATATAAATAAAATCATACCTTATAACAGCTTGTACATATTCAGATTCTTCAGTTTGTGCTCGAACTGTTTTACCCATTGCTGTCTCTATATATAAAAGATGATGATGATGATGATAATAATTCATAGAGAATCGTCGGATTATCATACGTCTTACCACAAATAACATCAAGTGTCCAAGCCGAAATTAATGGATATAAATTAGTTTCCACATTTTGATCAGCTAATTTCTGAAAACATTTTAGGCCAATGTCTATTTGTTCATTAAATGTATCAATACAATTAGACAAAATATTACTATCATGAAATGATGGAGTAATAATTCGTCGACGTGTTTTCCATTTTTTACCTGAACTAAAAAACAACATTGAGAATTATGTATTATTATAAACTGAAGTAAATTTTGTTTTCATATCTCTCTTTCCATAAAAAGAAACCAACCTAATGAGCAATCCCGTTTTCAACCAATCGTCAAGCAATGCATAATCTGGTGATTTATTTATATGCTTTGAACTAGCCGCTAGGAAAATCTAGAAAAATGAACAACATGAGGAAATTCATCAGATTGTGTAAAATTAAAGTAAATCGATACGAATCGTTAGATGGTTATTTTTAAAAAATTGAAACATGTTAAATATTAAGCACATTGCATCTTTTCACTTGAAACGGATAGTTCTTAAGTGTTATGCACTGTTGCATATCTGATATAAATCAGTTTCTAGAGCTCGAAAAGACTACAGAAAATCTAGCATAGTTAATTCACGCCCCCCATCTCCAGTCCCACATACAGGTCTTATTGATTTTGAAGTCTAATAAGACCCATTTGAGAAAATCGAATTACCTACTTTAGATCTAATCTAAAATTGAATATAAAAAAAAAACAAATCATGTATCGCAAGGAATAGATAAAAAATCAAGTTCCTTTAAGATTTAATGTTTCAAGAAGAAACATTTTTTAGGACTGAAATTTGTAGAGCTTACTGTAGAGAATGAGATCTATCTATGCAAGGATGAATGACTTCAGACTTTTTCTAGTCTTATTGAGCTCTGAAAACTGATATATATATTAGATGGAAAATGTCATATGTGAATCAGAAAACGAATTTTTTTCAAATCGTTAACAACTACTGAAAAATCAATACGGACCTCCAAATAGTCGACTCGAATGAATGCAAGACATGGCCACAAGAAGAACCAAATACAAATGATTGGTTCATTTGGATATTCTCGGCAAAACTTCAAAAAATTCTGATAATGTTCTACAAAAAGGATCTAATTCAAATCATGATGCTTGTATTTGATAGAGTTACCTCGTTTTGAAACTTGACCAGCTAACGAGAACAAATGACCAAATAGAGGAACATAATCAGATTTCGGTATTTTGAAACATGATGAATAAATTGTTTTTTGTTGAATTAATTTACGTATAGGTTTATAGAGATATAATATTGAACTTATAATGATCAAAATCGTAATAAGACAAATAGTTGTCATGACAATATCTATTAAATAGCACGAAATTCTAAAAAATCTATATACCGATTCTTATTCTTTTTTTAATCGCTACTTGTGCATTGGTTTCATTTATTCTATTTATAACTAACCTTTAAAATACTGGATGCGTCGAAACACGTGTTCTTTGTGAGCTTGATAAAGCCAATACTTTACAATATTATTTTTTTTATTTGCGTCTCGCTTTTCTATGAAAGGAAGCGAAAAAATAAAAAGCTTTTTTTTGTCGTTTCTTTTTATCTACCGTCATGTTAACTGACATGAACCATTGCTTTTCATGTTCTTCATCCTTTTGCTTATTTCTTTTATGTAAAAGGTGAGGGCATGGATACAGAATATACACGGGCATTGGCATCCACAAAATGAGCTAAAAACTTACGATCTTACAGCAATCTATCAGAAATGATCGAGCTCTTTTTCAGAATTTTGGAAATCAATGAGTTGTGAAAAAGTCACTATATCTCCTCCTAAAACTCTCATTGTTTAAATAAGCTTCAGGCTCGACTAGTAATCAGGATATTATTTTCTATCAAATAACAAAAGAAATAACGAAATACAAAATCATGGATAACAAACATCATAAAAACTGTGATCAGACGTAATCATTTTCGATGAAGATTCGATGATAACAATAGAAGTTTTTTTTGGTTCCTATTCAGCTATAACAAGAGAATAAAGTTTTAAAATAAAACCTATATATTCCATTATTCGAAAGACAGCATCCATCAAGAAATAGATCGCGTATTGGATCGATTAATATATTTTTGCTCTTGTGTCTTGTAGATTGCAATGCAGGAAAAAATGTTCTTATCATATTTAATGTAGCAGCTATCACTGATATTCCTATAGTAGGTGTTTCAGGAGTAACAATATAGCTGTTCTTCTCCCTGGCCAAGTGTTCTACCATCTGATATTATTGGGCTATTTATAAATGCCATGATTAATGTTTCTCATGTTTTAATCACGATGGGGACATAAAACAAAACAAAAAAAAAATTGAGAATAAACATGTAAGAAACAAAATAATTGAACTCACATCTGGTCGAATTTAGATATCAATCAGTACATAAACCAATATCTCCATCTATTCTCAAAGATATTCAACATTATCATTCAAAATAAAAGTAGCATTGTTTTTTTATTTAATAAATCTGAAAAAAAATTCATCAGTGTTCGTCTTTTCTCTAGGTTTTTTCGGGTAGCATACATTAGGCTAGAAGTGGAACATTTAGAAGATATAGAACATTTTGTTTTTCAGAGAAAAACTAAATCAATTACAATACCATGATCATATCATTTATGAATAGTCTAATAATGTCACATGGTCGAATTTTGTTCATGAGGTTGAGCACCTGCTTATAGGAGTACCCAAGTTTCCGTTTATAAATAGATTTGATTTTAGATTTGTAGATCTTTGTTTCAAAACAAAATTATCATCTTCTCTCAAAGCCCGATAATTTTTATTAAAAATGCTTCAAAAATAAGATTTTTATTGTTAAATCTATATTTTTTTATTTTCACAATACAATATTTCATTTAAAAAAAAATCATTAAAAGCTGAACGGATATCAGATTTTTTTTAATTACATTTTTTTAACATTGTCACTTAAATGCAGTTTACCAGATGATTTTATCTCTAATAATGATGCATAACATAATAATTTAAGATTCAATTATTAACAGTACATAGCAGGTATAAAAGTGACATTAAAATTTGAGGTTTACAAAAGGATATTTGAATAAAATGAATAATATATATATTTTTCTTCTTTTGAAAATCATTTGAAACCAATATTTGTGATTATCAAAACTCATCCGAAATAATACATGAGAAATAATGCATTAACTGAAGTCTTTGTTCAGCATTTGTTCAACATACTCTCATATCGTAGAAACGTAGTAGAAAAAAGCAATCCGAAATATTTTTTTTTGTTACAAACTGGTCAGGTAGTACGAAGGACTGAATTTTACAATTTCTTTCAGAGAAAAGTATGTCTTGATACGAAAACCAACAGTAAAGTAACCCACTCAGTACCACTGTACAGAATTCTGCATGCCTCATTCAATAAGAATACCTGCTTGATTGTAAAACTTAGGAAAAAGAATAATATCACTTTGTGGTCTCCAGAACATTGCAATTTTCCATGTTGGTATTAAGTTAGGAGTGGCTTCTACTAAGATTCGCACCGGGATGATCAAGAACTATTTTCAACAATGTATACTGTTCATATTAAATAGAAAATCTTAAAGAAATTTTGCCCACGAGCTAAGCACGTGGTACTTATAAAGGGTTAGACTCAGTACATCATTGGAAAGAGTACTCTTGACGCTAGAAAAATCGACACAAAATGTGTTTTTTTCATTTCACTTCTGGTATAAAACATATAATAGGAAATTCTATTGTACAATGGTGAAGTTACCAGAACTTATTTTTGAGGTGTTTGATTTTTGACCTTTCCTCTTTCTTAGATTTGTTCTGGAAGAATATGTCTAGTAAAGAATATGTTTTTTAGATAGTACTGTTTCTAACGAAAAGAAATTTAGTTTGTTTAGAAGTTGGCAGTAGAGTCTAACAGAGTTTGACAATTTTACAGAGACTTCTGCATTGCATGTTACGTCACGAATACAATCGACTTCCCGTATTTTACCTATCATAATACTATGTCTTCCTAGAAAAAGTGATTGTTCATAGAAATATTGTGTAAGTACTTCTACTGAATAAGAAATAGTCATCGGCAATATTAAAGTTTCAATCGTTTTTCAACAACTCGAGAGAAATTTTTGGTGACAGATGAATTCGTTTTATATATTTTCAGAAAAAAATTAAACTGATTCGATTTATATTCCCTACTGATTATCATATTCATTTGTTTAAATATTTCTTTTTGATGACTACCATGTTTTTTTTTATTTCACAAAATTATTTTTCTAAACTAATAATCGAAGTTTCTATTCAATACATTCGTACAAGTTCATATATAATTGGAAATATGTAGAGATCAAAAATGATACATGCCTAGTTAGATGTGTCAAATATTGCAGAATGAATTATCTGAAGACGAAAATTGTTTGTGCTCAGTTATCTGCATCAAAATGAAGTATTGGTGTGAGTATTTTATGGGACATGGGTGTGGTTGAAGAAAAGACGAAAACTCACACTCACACCCTTATCAAGCCAAAATCGAATATGGAGATAAACGACAAAGATATGAAATATTCATAAGTAAACTTTGATTTTAGAGAATTTTTATTCATGTATATGTATTTCGTGTATGTATAATTAAGAAAAACGTATCACGACGTTCATAAAAACACTTTTGTTTTTCGAATAAAAATCGACGATTTATAGATCAGTCATATATTAACATTCAATTCAACTATCTTGTTTTTTCAATTCTGATTTTCCTTTATACGAAATTTTGTTACGACAAAGCCACACTTGTTTGATTGTCTAGATGAAATAGATAGAGTAAAGAGCATATTAGAGGATGAAGAATCAAAACACTTACTGTATTCTGTCGTAGACTATTAGCAAAATATTGTGCTCCTTTGTCATCGATATTATTTACTGAAAGATCTAGTGTGATGAGTGTCTGTTTCAAAAAAAAAGTACAAATAAGAAAAAGTTAGAATTAAATGAGTAGACTCACTGAGTTGTGCTGTAAAGCATCTGCCAAATGTTTAGCTCCGTCATTGCCAATTTGATTCTTGTCAAGTTCTAGTGTGGTAAGCGTCTATGTAGAAAACAAGAACATATGAGAATATAGTGAAGAAAGATGATGTAACTCACTCTGTTCTGTTGTAAAGCATCAGCCAGATGTCGTGCTCCGTTGTCACAGATTGAATTAACACCAAGAGAAAGTCGAGTTAATGACTATGTCAACAAATCCAATGAAGAATCGATCCGAGTGACAAATGAAGAAACTCATTGTGTTCTCTCGTAAAACATCTGTCAGATATTGTGCTCCTTTTTCGCCGATTGAACTAACGACCAGAAATAGTTCGGTGATTGTCTGTAAGAAAAAATCCAGATGATAATATATGTATATATCGAAGAGAGAGAAATATGAAAAGACTAACATTGTTCTGTCGTAGGACATCAGCCAGATATTCTACGCCTTTATCACGAATTGCATTCTGGCGAAGATCTAGTCTGGTTAGTGTCTGTGTGAAATAATAGCAAATGAGAGAAATTAAGAGATGAGGTATGGGATAAGGAAAAATTATGAAATATGAAACACTAATAGTATCAATAACAACTTTTTGTTCTGCTGCACGTGAATACGAAATCAGTTTAACTATTCTTTTCTTAAGTTTTTTATTTGTTCAATCTATCAACATCGTTTGACTTATTTCTTTAACCAAATAGACATAATCCTGAAAA